TCTCTCTCTCTCTCTCTCTCTCTCTCTCTCTCTCTCTCTCTCTCTCCATTGTGTATCAGTTTCCGTGAAAGACCTAAATACCACTTACCTCAAATTAAGCTATGTGTTACTTCAAGTAATACGTTTTGACATAGGATGGCTGACTGAGGTTCTTTACTTTGGCTTCAGTTCACCATCTCTTCATTCAAACTGCACTTTTAGCCAGAGATGCAATATATCCCCACTACTCAATACTACCTCTGAATGTTACAATGAATTTACAGTCTAGTACTTATTACATGCTGCTATACACAAGCAATGCAAGAAAAATACTTAATGGGTAGGTGATGCTAATCATCTGCGGTTCCTTTTGTACACTTAATTACAGTTTAAGAAGCAGTCTCCTTACTGTGTTTCAGCATGGCTATGTATTTTTCTATGTTTTTTTAATTAAAATTTTACAAATACTTGTTTCAGCTTCTCTGCTAGATTTCTACATTAACTTGAATATTTTTTTTTAACCAAGTCGCTCCTAGGTTCTTAAGGGTCATTTTCCTCAATCGCACTACACATCACACAAAATTTGACTGTAATGTTTAAATATTACCCTCCAAGTCTGTACCTCAGATGAATTGTTTAAGGAATGGACTAATTGACTTGCAAAGACCTACCTCCAGATTTCAAAAGGAATGAACTTGTTACTTGCAGCATTCATTTTTGTCAACGTTTGAAATAGCTCAAACTGCAGCTATCCCTACTCAAAACTATTTTTGTAAAAGATGTTTTTGCTAGAAAGGAACACATTTTTACATCCTTTTGCAAATAGATAAATTAAGTAAAGCCAACCTTCAAAGAAACTTGAAGCTTTGTAGGTGAGATGCAACAAGCTCAGCTTTTGCACGATGCAATCAGAAATATGTGTTTTTAAGATTAGTTGAATATGAGAAAATGCTTGACAAAGATTTTCATGTATTTTACACAAATGTGATTTTTGTAATATGTCTCAACCAGATTTATTTTAAGCGCTTCTTATGTAGAGTTTTTATTTCTTTCTCTCCTAGTGAGTGTGCTGACTTTTTAACATGGTATTATCAACTGGGCCAGGAGGTAGTTTCTCATGAGGGCTGTGTCAGTGTGGCTTTTCATTCTGAAGCCAAATGAAACTCAAAACCATCTCTCTTCCAGCCACTTCAGGGAGGTAGCTTCCAAGGCCACATCCCTCTCTGAGACTGGCAGATTGCTCACTGTTGTGAATCACCAAGGAGCTATGGAGAGAATTAAAACTCCATGTTACTGTTAACTGTGCGTTAAACAAGCAAATACGCAGTGGCTCATAAAAATCGAAATCCCATTCCATATCGTTGGTTGGGCCTTTTTGAAACCTCATTGGCCAGCCTCTAAAACTGACACAGTTGCTCATGTTGGCCAAACTTGGAGCACCAAGCAATTTCCATCTCTGACGAAGTTACCTTTTATTTCCTCTACGTTGTACAATCAAAACACACTACTACCTCTTAAGTCCCAGTATACCTCATTTTTCATACTGAAAAAAAAAAAAAAAAGCTTGTGGCCAATGGAACAGTAAGAACATCATAAAATTTTTATATATATAGTTTATTTTTGTGGGAGATAAATTTTATAGGACTGTTCTTTGCTGTTGTTGGTCTCGGCTAAGTAAGACTGGACATTTTACCATTTCTGCATGTTTGCGGGAGAAAAGAAAGTATCAAGACGTTTAACCGCAGTTGACTTTCTCCCTGTTCCTTTGAGTGTCTTCTAACTTTATTCTTTGTTCTTCATGTAGAGTTGCTGTCTATGATTGTACTTTGAATCGCTTGCTTATGGAAAATATTTCTCTAGTGGATTATCACTGTCTGTTCTGCACAATAAACATAACAGCCTCTGTGATCCCCATGTGTTTTGATTCCTACTCTTTGTCATAACTCCGTTAAATAATACTGTTGGGTCAAAACAGGTCAAGGAGAGAAACATTCACACGTCATTTTGTTGCTCTACCCACGTATTGTGCACCCAGACCTTTACACTCACTGACATAAAGCTTTAAAGCATCATATGTATTAAACCAACTACCCTAAATTCACCTTGCATGGTCTGACATTTAATTCTACAAAGACAACCTTAGCAGGAGTATACAGGAAGGACAGTCTGTAGTTTAAAACTAGAGACTTTCTACTTAAGGCTGGTATCGATAAAGTCTGTAATGGAAGTGACATGATAGACCAGTTATCTTTCAAGTAACACTTGCAAAGAGATCCAAAAGTTTGGTGAAAAGTATAAGAAATGAAAAGCACAACGTTTCTACCTAGTAGGAGTCTTTTGTAAACACCATACGCAGAGTCAGAATTCTTCCACCAAGGTCAAGATCATCTTTACACCTCAATTTTTGATTATTAATAAATCCAGGAATTTTTTTTTAACTTTTTAAAAGCTGAAACCTGGTTTGTGCTGCCACTGTTGTCACTGTGAAAACTCTTCTTCGTTTAGCTTCTTAAGAAGGACTTGCCCATATTAAAAATTTTTTGTCTGGAAATCTATTGTCCAGTTTATTATTTCACTTCTTCATTTATTTTCACAGCCAACATTTTGTGAGTGCCTGACCTTGTGGTAAGCACCAGACCAAGAGGCCCTTCAAAATATTACCTCCTTGGAGAAAATTATGCAAGTAGAGAAATACAAGCAGCATGCGAAAAGAATGGAGTAAATTGTTTAGGCAACAAGTTTCAAGAATTCAGAGGAGGGAAAACCATTTCCTGCTGGGGTGTATCATTAGTTCAGCCTACCAAGAGGGAGACAGGCCAGATGTATTTAATATAACCCATATTTAGTCTGTTCATTTTTATTAATATAGAAAAGCACATAAGAAGAAATTACTTCCTGAAAATAAACCAAGAGAGAACCTTTGGCTTGAAAAAGAAAGAATAAAAAAGGATATATTATGTCCAAAAGAGGGTAAGTTGATGACTAAGATAAAATTTTTACCATATTTCGGAGTTGACACTCACTAAATGGTCTCTGAATTCGTTTTTTGTTTTTTTTCCTTTTAGAAAACCTATTGCTTTCACACAATAAGTGAAAGCAGTATATTTATGAAATTATGTGAAGAAATCTTTTAGGTTTAAACCTAAGTTCAAATAACAGTGGGGCCTCTAGTATGTACAGGATATTGTTTAGGGCAGTAAAGGTCGATGAGACTTCATCCCTGCCCACAAAGAGCCAAAACTTCTCATGAGGGCGCTGGACCCAATGGAGAGCTGTGTGAATATAACCTTGCTGAGTTTCCCTGAAAGTGGTTGGAGGCATCATCCTGAACTCTGCCAATACCTGGGACGAGCTGCAGGCCCTCTCACAAAAAGACTTGAGCATCACCGTCACCGAGGGATCCTGGGGCTGCACGGACCATGAGTCTCTGCCAATGTAGCATTTCATATGAGGGGACGGGGGCTGTTTTTCAACAGGGCTAGGGTACTCGACTCTGGTGTCGAATTCAGGAATGGTAAGTGGTTCAGGCGTATGGGCAGTAATAAACACAGACCTAAGAGTAACATTCCAGGCAATGAGACACGATGCAAACTCAGACTGTAGACTAGTGAATGAAACTTCAGAGAACTGAAACAAGAGTGGAGAAGAGGGCAGAATGAATGCACTTCTTATCAAGTTTTACTTACATATGATGACTTTTGATTGAACAAGTGTAATTCTTAGAGTTCGGTAAGGTCATCCTTGAGCAGTTACTCTTCAGTGTGTAGGGACCCTGGACAAGACGCCCCAATGTGCCATATGATGGTGTGGCGAAAGGTGGGAACTCTGAAACCAGACTGCCTGGGTTTGAATCCCGGCTCTGCCACTAACTAGCTGAGGACCTTGGGCAAATCACATAACCTTTCTGAGATCAATTTTTGTCATTTTTAAATAAAAATAAAGCATCTACCTAAAAGTGTTGTTGTGAGGATTAAATATGTCAATACATGTGAAATGCTAAAAAGCACTTGACTTTTCAGCCAAGTAG